TTGCTTAAATTGGAAAATTAACTGCGATGATCATTCTTCACTTTCATCTACAACCGCAGTTCATATATGAATTATTTCATATAAACTTCACATCAATACTGCACATGTCTGATTCTTTCATTTTTCACTGATTTGCTTTGTTTTTTCTTCACCCGACAATTTAATATTAACACTAAGATAGAACTGGTTAGTTCCTAAAAAAAACTTAACAGACTTTCAGGGAACGCCCTCCATTATCATTTCAATACCAAACAAATGCAGTGACCAACAATTACTACATAATTTCCTGTATCAATACCACACATGTGATTTTTTTCAAATTTCGCTGTTTTGCTTTGTTTTTTCTTCATCCCGACACTTAAACATTAATTAAGGGCAGTGTATCCTGACACCAAAACCTTTCTCCCTGGATGTACATGTAAGTGAAACTACACACTGATACCGAATACACTTGCCAAGTACTGTTCATGTTGGAAATCAAAGATCATGCCCTCCTGGAAATGTAGCATACTTTCCTTGAAGTACGGGTGCCTCTGCAGGATGCAGCTAGGCATGGGGTGATAATACTTTGGCTTTTCCCCAGATATCCTGTTCTGTACTGCCCCGGTAAGGGAATCCTTGTAGGGGTACTCATCTTTTTCAACAAGCTGTACCACAGGGTCCAAAGGTGGAGGGCAAGGGCTGTTGTCTGGATTTTTGGGCAATGAACCACGGCATCCAGTACACCTGCTTATCCTCCGGTTGCTTTTCATGATAGTAAATGGATTGCTACTGTGCCATGGTTTTCTTACTGCCGGTGGCTGTGACCTGTCAAATTACAATTTAAAAAGTAGACAAGGTAAATTTGCTATAAGCATAAATTAATGCAAAGATACAGTCCTTTTCAATCTTTCATGTCCTTTTCAATCTTTCATGTGTATATATTTCATATTTCATGTGTATAGTCTTCTCGGATAAGGACGATAAACCGTAGGTCCCGTCTCACAGCACTTCACTGATCTGGCTCTTGTGGGATGTTAAAGAACGCATGACATTGTTCGAAAAGAGTAAATGACATAGAACCCGGTGTCATGGTCTATCTGACTTGTGCCGGTTATTGGTCTGGGGTGGGTAAGGTGAGATCATACATGGACTGAAGTGGCTGCAAAGTGCGCCTTCATATGCTGACATCCGATCTCACCTCTTCGGTTCCTCCGCAGTTCAGCCTCTGGCTGCAAGGGAAGAAATTGACACCAACCTATCTATCTATTTATATATGTATCTATATTTTTTTGTTGGGAGGGGGGAGTTAATCCCAGGTTATCGCCTTTTCTTATAATACTTTAAGAACTTGTGGGAGGTTTTCCATTTTCAAGAGAATAAGTAGCCAAGAGTACCAAAACTGCACATCACTTTAAATTCTCTTTACAATGTCATTACTTTCAGGATAAAGTAGACCCTTAACTACCTGTTTGGAGAACCTCCTGGGTGAATGCATCCTTGCCTAGGAACCAAGGCTCGTGGCATGATCTGCTGCAAATAACCTGTGTTTGAAGATTGGACAGGCATGTCTGATGTCATCAATCCACGTGCATGGCTTCCTAACATCATAGTGCTTAACACCACAAAGCTATCTGAAAGCCTGGTGTGGTTTGGAGCTTCCATGGTCTGTTGCTGAAAACTACAGGGGTTGTCAGCAAAATATGGCATGTCTAGTGTATGTGTTCCTTGTTTCCTGGGTACTTCGAAATGGAGCTGTTTGGTCCATCAAGCTGCTAAGATAAGAATGTGGCTGATTCTGGCTACCAAACTTCCTGGAAAAAGTGGAGTGGAGGTACTCATCTTCCTCAAGTGTCTGAATGGGTTGACCACCTGCTAGGGGCAAGCTGGCTATAGGAACATTACTTGCTGTGCAGCCTGTTCTGACCTGACTGGATCCAGGAACAGATGAATGCATTATTGGTTGCTGCATATTCCCGGAAAGTACTCCAAGAGTGTAACGAGCATCATCAACTATGGGTACATTGGTTGCTGTGCTACCTGTTCTGAACTGGGAAAGAAGAGCTGATCCACAAACTGATGGCTGGGGTCTTACGTGCTGTCTGTTCTCTATCCCAAGATTGTCGGAAGGATCACCGCACTGATTCTTCTTTTGTGATCGGTCTCGTCGTTGACGGTTGTTCTTTCTTCCAGAAGACTTGGTGTTGATATTAACTGTTGCAAGGGAAGTGAAATTGTATGACTTAGCCTGACTTACTCTCCACTTCAAGAAAGAGTCCAGGTCTGCACATTTCTCAGCAACATCTAACACATGAGAGCAGATGCTGTTTGGCCTCTACATTTTGCAGGTACATGTGACTTTAACATGGCTGCATGAAGTGTGGCATGTGCTGCAGCAGTACATTTGAACAAAGTGGGGAACGGGACTCTTGTCTGTGTGACTTTGTACACAGAACACCTTCGTACTGGGGTCCTTTGATGGGGTAGATGAAACATTGTTCTCAAATACACTCAAAAGAAGTGCTGCTTTTCTCCAAATGCCTTTTAACACTGGTAGAGGAATAATACTTCCAAGGCCACTAAGTTCTGGTGTGGTGCTCAGAGTTGGGAGTTGGACATCACTGCAGCTTACAAGTACACAATGCTGTGGATTTGCTGCATACATTTCACTCATCACAAGCTTGTAAACTCTCTGGACATGTGATCGCCTCTGGTCTTCTCTCATGTCATACCACTTTGCTGCTGGCACACAAAAGGAAGAGAACACATCTCGGACCTTGTACTCAGTCGACATTCCACACAGTGCCTTTGCAAACTCTGTTTCTTGACTGTAAGCCAACTGTTTCATTCCAGCAACAAATGAACAGAGCCCTGCTTCTCTATGATCCATCTTATGCTTTATTCTTTCGTTGTTGGTCTCACTGTCACTGGTGCAGAACCTCTTTGGGGGATTCCCCAAACCTGCTTTGGCAGGAACATCGGCAGTCATGGACTCCTCATCATCACTGATCGGTCACTGAGGTACTTGCAAAACTTCTCTCCATTTGGCAGTTCTTTCCAGATTTTGATGTAATCTTGGAATGCGTGGTCAAATTCTTCTTCAGATCAGGCTTCCAGAAGGCTGTGAGTCTCCTTGTTACCAAAAATGTGACCAGTGATCACATTTTCATATTCTTGCATACCTAAGTTCTTCATTGTTCTCTCAACATTTTGTTGGAAGTGGCAGAAGCATCTCAATGATATGCTTTCTTTAAAGACTGATTTGCAGGCTTTGATGAGTTCATCTTCACCATCAGTTCCAAAAGCTTGCAAAGACTGCAGCCTTGACTGTAGCCCAACTAACTGTGATGTTAGGTAATAGTAGGCCTGGAATGTCTTACTCTAATGAATAAGAAGTGGCCCCAGAAAAACTGGACATTGTCCAGTTCTGTTACTTTCGAGCACAATGTTTCTGAATGAAACTGGTGTTACGTTAAATGGGCCATTGTTAAATGTTGGATCAATTGACACTGGTCAAAAATCTACTGCATCTGTACAAGACTGAAAGACTATGTAACCGAAAATCGGTTGCCAGCAAACACATCGGCTCAGGGTGATTGACGATTGCTCGAATGAAATCATGATCATCTTCTTTGGCAGCTGTCATACGGCTGTAAAGCTCATCCCACTCTTTTCTGTGTTTATATCCTGTTCCAGTTCTGGTTCTGATTTTTCGAGCAGCATAATGACCTTGATGAGTGCTCCGTATATGTTCAGCAGGTGATTTGGCATCAAATATTGAGCTACCAAACTCTCCCTCTGTTAGATCAATAGCTTCTCATACTTGATGTCTTCCCAGGTTGTATTCCAATTTTTGCTTGACAGAAGATTTGGTTGCAGTAAATGGAATGCTGTTTCTTTTGGTATTTCCATGAGGGGCCAATGTTACCTCACCCTCTTCCCCCTCCCACTGGTACTGTAACACAGCAACATTGCCATGGATTTCACCTTCCTTGTTTCATAAGATATAAATTCTTCTGTGAAAACGTGTTTGCTCTGTGTGCCGATAATAATATTGCTGCAACAGGAAGTGTGATCTGCATTTCAGGGGGCGTTTTGTTCTTGCTAGCACTTTTACTTGGGGATATAACATTTTTTCCTCACCTTCATTCTCACTCTCATCTTCATTACTGCATGTCTCTATGGTATGTGTTGGTTGGCCTGTATTGGTAAAGGTACCATTGCCATCTGCCACAAGATCTTTCATAGGAACATGCTTCAAACTGATCAAAAATACGGCATTGTATTTTACCTTCATTGGCTGTTCTTCACAAAGAATACCAGAATCAGTCTGAGACCTGAAGACCGCTTTGACCACATCAGTGATACCAAAGGTACGAGCAGTTCTTTCATATAACGGCATCTTAGGATTTCCTTTGTGGAAGAGGGATTCAATGCTATCATCACCTCCCTTTTGTTCAAGGTTGCTGCATCTGTTTTAAACAGATAACTTAACAATGAACTTCTGAGAATTGCACTTGTTCATCAAGTTCACTGTTATTTGAAAATTGGCACAACAATAGAATGAAAGCAATATCACTGCAAAGAGTCCTAAATCCTGGATGGTAAACTCTTTTTGGCATGTCTATACCTGCACATAACATTGGCACATTTATTACTCCTCCTAAAAACTGTTCACATGTTAAGTTACAATTGAAACTATTCTTTACTCTTTGCATTTGTGATGATTTTGTGCTTGTACTTCAATCTGACAATGAAGTCATTGCTTGAGAATTTAATTACATTGACAAATAACTTACATCAAAAATGATGTTTCACCTTCCTGTAAGACCTGCACAATGAAATTCATGCAAACATCAAGTTAAAAACAAAATACACAGATAATTCTATTAGGAGCCAATGTTTGAACAAATTAAGCAGAAGCATTTACAAATTAATCCTGTAGAAAATAAATATTAGATAAATATTATAATACAGTTACTGATAAATGCCTTGAATGAAAAAAGACATCATTCATACATTTACCTCTTCTTTCATCTTGGGAAGTTTGGAAGCCAGTTCAAGCCCCTAAATATAATAATAAAAATACATGATTTAACTACATCATTTGTCATGTAGGTATCTTGGTGCCAGCCACTTTTCAATGGCATGACAACCAGTGTATCTTATAGATAGTGATTGCTGCGCAGAGTGGCATGGGCAGTGTAGAAGAGTTTGTAATGACTTTTTTGTGAACGCAACGATAACAGTTTTTTTTATTAATATAAACAAGATTTGTTAACTCAACAATAAACAACAACAGATATGAGCATGCTGCAGTTGTGACAGTTGGGAAGCTATAGAGACAAACACTTGTTTATTATTAAGAAGTGTTTGTCTATAGGTTTTCAACTGTGACAATAATCTTTTTTTCATTAAAAATTGCTGTGGCTTCAACAGTTAAAAGAACTTCAATAATATCATCAGTCAGATCAGAAAATGATTTGTGGTCGGTATCCAGATTGTGTTCTTGGTAGAGAGTGAACAAATGTTGGATAACATCGTCAAACATCTGAAGTGAAATAGTTTCTTTGTTTTTGTTTATAAAAAGAGAACTGACAAGGATTTTGCTTTTGCATTTGGATTTCAACTGTGACAATTTGCACTCAGTGCACTGGAGAATTTTCTTTCCACTGTCTGCAGCAATTATTTTGGTGTGACACTTGTTGCAGGAAAGGAATCTTTGTACATAATTTATACCCTCTGGTGGAAAGTTAATTTTTTGCTGTTCTGNCTAAAAAACCTGACTAAACGGTTAAAAACGGTATTTTTTGGCGAAAGTTTGGTATTCAAAGGGTTAAAAAGTGTTTGTGTCTATAGGTTTTCAACTGTGACAACAGTCTTTTTTTCATTAAAAATTGTTGTGGCTTCAACAGTTAAAAGAACTCCAATAATATCATCTTCAGTCAGATCAGAAAATGATTTGTGGTTGGTATCCGGATTCTGTTCTTGGTAGAGAGTGAGTAAATGTTGGATGACATCGTCAAACATCTGAAGTGAAATAGTTTCTTTGTTTTTGTTTATAAAAAGAGCACTGACAAGGATTTTGCTTTTGCATTTGGATTTCAACTGTGACAATTTGCACTCAGTGCACTGGAGAATTTTCTTTCCACTGTCTGCAGCAATTATTTTGGTGTGACACTTGTTGCAGGAAAGGAATCTTTGTACATAATTTATACCCTCTGGTGGAAAGTTAATTTTTTGCTGTTCTGGTGCATTGGATAAGTCATCGAGTCTTTCAATTGTTTTGTTTACCCCGTGGACTGTTGTGTGCTTGTTGAATGTTAAATAGTTGCTGTCTTGGTATTCTCGTACTGAAATGTTTTTGATGTCGTAACAGTGCTGTGATGTTACTTTATGTATTGTGTCAGTGAACACAGCTTCCTGCATTTGGAGGGATTTATTGTTGATATTAAGGGTTTTTGTTTCACCGGTAAATGTTATTCTTCCACAAATATTGACGTTAAGTGTTTGGTTCACCATCCAATATGTCCTCTGCTGTGATATCTTTTGAATGTTTTTCTTCTGTGTTTATAGGCCGATAGTCAAACTCTGATTCTTTGTCACTTGGATCTTGAAGTTTGGTTCTCTTGTTCATGAGAAGTTCCTGTTCTGAAGTCTTCTCACTTTTTTTTTAGCTGAAATTTTGTCAGCTTTATTGGAGATGATGATTCATACTTGCACTTGAATGTAGGGTGCTTCTCTGGTGAGAAGCACACTGTCCAGTAAATGTTGGTACTGGTTTGTATCTTGCGATCAAAATACTGATTATTGTTTTTGCTTGTTTTTATGTTTGAGAGGGTCGTGTAGATATCCAACTATAGCACCTTCTGGAAAGAAAAAAATAACTGATATTTAAAGAATGTTAAGACTTCACTGATCAGTGTTATCATTTTGGAAGAGAACCTCTGTGTACTAAATGATTATGGACACAAAATATGAAACTGAGCTAGCTGGGAACCAAAAGGACGCTTAATATATGTTGTTATTATTAAGAGGGTATGTGTAACATGGGATTGAATTTAAAATCAACTCTAATATCATGGTTAAATACCATTGGAATTATCCAGGGTTGCATCAACTGCAAATGAAAATGAAAGAATTGAACACTATTTTATAACAGTTAAATACACATGTTTTAAGAATATTTAGACTTTACTGATAAGTGTTATCGTTTTGGAAGGGAACCTCTGTCTAATAAATCATTATGGACACAAAATACTAAACTGTGGTAGCTGGGAACCAAAAGGATGCTTAATATATGTTATTATTAAGAGGGTTTGACTTTAGTGTCAACTGTAATATCATGGTTAACATACCATTGGAATTATCCATGGTTGCGTCAACTGTAAATGAAAATGACAGAATTAAACACAATATTTAATAACAGTTAAATACATATTATTATTTGAAGAAGAATTTCTTGGTTTTTTCTGCAATTTTCTGAAGCCTAAGTTCTTCTGCTTTTCTGTATTTAAGGTTGTTTGACTTTTTAATGTTTCCCAGCCTATCAAAAGTCATTGGTTCTAGTATGAGAGATGATAAATCTCTAACCCTACTTATGGCAACATATGTGAGGCCAAGAGTTGCTTCTGATTTTCCAATATCTATCCATGATTTATGCAAGGTTAATCCTTACATGTAGCTCTTATGGATAGTCAGTGCCCATGCAAGTTTAAGTGGTAGTTGTTGTCTTTCATGTATTGAATTTCCATAATGCACAGACATAGTTATAGGAACTATAGGAACTAAAGAAGGTGTTCCAGATATGGAGGGACCAATGTAATCATTGAATTTGACAACAACAGCAATAGGTAGATCTGGAGGTTGGTGATTGCTCTTGTAAATTATGTCTAGTACTTGTCCAGTTGATCCATTACAAAGACCAACAGATGGCCATAAGTTCACTGTCAGCATATTAAACATAAGAGCCTTTTGAGATAGGCAATATTGGTTGTAATCCACACATTTCTTGAGGGCTAATTTTTGCAGCTGCTGGACTTGAGTGTCTTGCTTGAATTTTTGCAATTGGTTGTTTAAGTTGTATGAGTGCCTTATAATTGAGCTCAAACTATGCCGATGAAAAGGCGCTTCAACTTTTACCAAACTCGCCGACATTTGCCTAGTTTTACGCTCGTGTTTACATGGTCAAAATATTACTACAGTTCTGATCGATAAAACTAATAGAAGGCAATCAAGATCTTCAACAATAAATCAAGTTAAGTGAGCGATGAGATAGGATGGCAAAACAAAATATAGACGATTGTTGACTGTTCTTGTTCAAACATAGGCACGCAAGACGTGCAAGAGTTATTTTTTTTCTGTGAAGTTTTGTAGATGGAAGCATTCATGGTACAGTAATGATTTGGTTAATTTGACAAGTTCTTTTGGTTGCGATGTTACATCGGTCATGGTAAGATAGCTAAATAGTAAGCCATAAAATGTTTGACTGAACAAACTACAGTAATCTGACATGTCTCCAGATCAATGTAGTTATCATCTTATTTTCTAACGGGCAATTTGATTCACTCTTTGATACAACCTGCGCTGTGATTGGTGTGACACCCGCACATGCATAACTCCCTCGCTCACCGATCACATAACCCTTCCAACCCCCAAGAGAAATTTTTGCTCAAAAATACTCA